ATATATATATGTATATATATATAGCCTATATATATTAACAAAAACAAAGCTATGGAACATATCGCAAATATATATTATTTTATTTATACTTTGTTTCGTACGGGTTAATCTCAAATAATTAATTATTTAAACACGATAAGTGTTCAACTATATATAATAAAATATTCTTATACTTATGTGAAAAAATAATCAATAATAATGATAATGAAAATAATAATAATAAATGATAATGATAATGAAATAAAATATATCTCATGGTTTTATCAAAATTAGACGAATTTTTACTTCCCCATTTTCGGTCGTTTGTGTCCTATGGATTACATAATCTTGGGTACCATAATGTAAAAATCATTAGGAAAACGGTTGGGTGAAAAAAATCCAAATTTGGCAAACACGCGGGTTTTTGTCGAAATGGGGTCATTTTTTACCCTCACATTATCTAGTATTGTGTTCTGTAGTACGGTATACCTATAGATCACACAATCAGTTTTCTCATGATCCTTTGGTTCCGTAATGTAGGAATCAGCAGAAAAACGATTAGGTAAAAAAAATATCAATTTTTTTTTTGGGCAAAAAACGCAAAAAAATGGTATATGTCACGTTTCTTGTCGAAATAGGCCTAGTAGACGAGTTTTTATGCTCCCATTACAGTATCTAGTGGTATTGTGTTCGGTGGTACCTACCGATCACATAATTTATGTTTCCATGATTCTTGAGTACCATAATGTAAGAATCAGTAGCAAAACGACTAGGTGAACAATTTAGCGTTTTTTACACTTCCATTAACTAGTGGTATTGTGTTATGTGGTACCTTAGGATCACAATATCGGTATGTTCATGTTCCTTGGGTGCAATGCAAGAATCAGCAGGAAAACGGTTTTTGTCGAAATTTGACGATCTTTTGATTCTCTCATTTCCTGTGGTGTATTTTATGGCATCTACGGATCACAATCTGTATCTTCATATTCCAATTTTGGCAAAAAAAAAAAAACAAAAAAAAAAAAAAACGCACGTCTCATGGATTTTGTCGAAATTGGACGACTTTGTGAACCTTGCATTTTGTGGTGGTTTTATTTTCTGTGGCACACTCACAGATCACAAATATAATATCGGTGTTTACAAATGCCAATTAAAAACCTCGTTTTAAGCTTAAATAATTTTATTTCAGACGATATATAAAGAAATTGTTGTAGGCCTAATTCAAGCGGAATTCACAAAATAAAATGCTATTTTTTTTTGTTCATTATACTGGGTCAACTCTTCAGTAAAATCTTACTGTTCCACTAGATGGCCCAGTAAAACATTCACGTGAAAATGATGTTTAAAAAGGTTAACTTGGTTTTAAGCTAAATAATTCCGATGATATCCAATTTATCAAATAGGCCAAAGTGTCGAATTCTGCTATAATTCAAAACATTAAAATGCTAACAAAATTTAGTTGGACAAGCCTAATTCAAATAATGACCGGTGTTTTCACGATCATTGGGTTAAAACAAATATTATCCACAACGTATGAGCTTCTAGAGAGTTTAAGTTGTCTAAAGTCAAACTTTGAGTTTATTGTAAAACATGGGGTATTCTGCCATTTGCACACGTAGTCTGTGAACTGTCCTATGACATTATTTCTTTAAATACATATACAGTATTACAATATTGTACTGTGTTCTACATTTTGTTTATTTTAACTTTACTTTTCTGATTGTAAATGGTGGTGTTTAACGTAATTTGTGGTATTTCTGTATCTTTGCCGTGTGTATCTTGTGACAATATATTTCAGAATGAACTTTGTATTGCGAGAAAATAATTTAATATCGTTTTCTTTACCTAAATGATTTACCTTAATACGTACGTGATTTGATCCCTCAGTCGATAGTGAAGATAATGTGTAAACAAAAACAACTTGCTTCTTGAATAGTGTTTATCAATTGGTTTGTATGATTTTTATTGAGAAGCATTTACAAAAATTGTACAAACGCAATGATCTGCACACATTATAGAATAATAAACATGATTATCACACATCCTAATACAATCAAAACACTTGCCGTTGTTACCACTGACCAATCACGTTGCACATAAGGTATGACGTCATATTGGTCACACGGAAACCGTTGATACGCTCAAACGCGTATCATGAGATATATAGGCAAAGAAAAACAGAAAAAAAATGTTTTAGATATTATTTACATATGTTCGGGCAATCACAATATCGGATTTCCCAACATTACTACCGCAAGTCGGTTGGTTTGTGAGATATAACAATTTTGAAACGCATTTTCTCTAATCGGTTTAGAAACTACTCCAAATAACTCTGTCATATCCACATCTATAAAATATCTATAAACAGAAAGAAACGTATGGTGTCAAAGAAGCATATTTCTAGCAAGTGTTATTAACATTTTAAAGTAACATACATTTTAGACGAAAAAGTTCAACATAAATGGATACGTAAATTAAATCAAGAAAAACCAAAACTTAAAATAGAGCATCTTGATTATAATTTGATTGAAGATGTATGATAAATACTTCTAAAGTATGTGGACATGGTCTTAGTCAGATTAGCCAAAATACAACAGACAACATTGAATCGTTAACGATAATAATCATGAAATCATCATTATTTATATTTTTTTGCATAATATTAGTCTTCAAAAATATTTAAAGAGCTCATTTCATATATAATATTATCATATAACAAAAAGATTTCTAAATCAAAATAAATTTAAACATAAATTTACATATTGCAAATTGTCCACAACATAGTTGAGTGTGAAAATATGTCAAAATACAAATGGACATGATGTATATCTCTGTTATGTGGCAAAAAATTAATCAAAAAATGAACTACATACAATTTACATGTCTTACCGCACGCGACTGGTTCTAAAAAAGTTAATATTATTTAAATATATTACTGGTATACTATATGACAACAAAAACTATTCTTTGAAACAACAGTGCATTGACGGATTGTTTTGAAATTTAGAAAATGTTAAATTTATCTAATTTAGTAAAATATCGAAGCAAAGTCAATAGATTGGCGAGCCAGCTCGTACGAATTCAATCAATAGGTGTGTGTCCTGGGAAGAGACAGTTCAAAAACTGACCTCGCCAGCCACTCAAACAGAAACAAACAAGCTTAACTTCCTTTTATTTAAAATGCTGTTTAGCAGGTTTTGTTTTACCTGAGTGAAATCCGGAATAACTACAATACATACTCGCATAACAAGAAACCCTAAAAAGATGCTAGTTATTAACAATGTTTTCTAAAGTACAACAAAACAGTATATGAGAGACAGTTTTCCAAAACATAGTTAAAGTAGACCTATTGACATCAATTAATTAAGAAACGTAATAAAAATTTAAATATTTGTCGCTAAACATTGCCGCGTTAATAATGATGCAATAAATCATGTAAATAAAATAACTAAACAACAAGAAATTTTAGTCCAAAATGTTAGCATTTGTTTACGCCCGCAATAATCTACCGTTAAAAAATTAAGCAATCATCCCAAGTTCACAGTGATGGATATAATGCAGCGCGTAGAGTAAAAAAAGTCTAGAATGAAATGACGTCACTTAAATTAATCTGCGCATGCGTTAGTCCGCCCTTGGCCACGTCTTCGAGCTAGTCGAAAGCTCCCTATTTATAATATCTAGACAGCCCACTGGCGACTATGACGCAAACACATGGTACTAATACCTAATACTTCCACAACATCGTGTTGAATTTGTGGCGTTTAAAACTTTGTGTCCTTTTCATGGAAATGTTTAACCTGTGTTTCACACAGCACTTTCTCGAAGGAATGTCTTCAATTGCAAATTTGGATTGTTAGTGGCGATGGTTTACGCTCTACGCCTACAGATTCATCTTATGTTAACACTCATAACTAATGGCAACATAACATCACAATAATGTTGTCACAGGATGTCACTGGAAAAATGTTTAAAATATCCGTTAAAAATATAGTATAAATAGAGGAATGACATTTGGCATGACTATAATGTAAGCAAAATAAAAGGCATCACAGGAATGACCTAAAACAGTATTTTGATCCAACATGTACACCTTATACAACTTTCTTCTTCAGAGTATATGTCATGTTGACCCTCTGTACATCATTAGATTATAATAGCATTCAATAGTAAGCTATATATTAAGGAATTCTAATCATATTAATCTTTTCAAGTTAAAATGCACCGGCCGTGTCAATTTAAAATTCCCAAAAATGTTGATCAGTAAATCAAATATGAAAATAGATCATAGGAAAAATTAGTAGCACCGAATTTCGAAAAGAAAGTAAATTAATATTCAAAATATTATGAAGAAATACAAAGTGATGGATAAAATATATATTTAAAAACCCCATTTTGAGTTAGATTCCAATAAACCAAGCTTGGAAAGATGTAAACATTTATTAATAAAATAATTGCAAAATGATAATATTTACACTCCGTTAGGAATCATATTTGCTGTCAACTAAAGTGGGTGCTCATAGTAAAGACTGACGTCACAATCAAAAGTACACCACAACACACAACCAATACAGACCAGTAAACAAAATCAGTGGCATTGCAAGTAGAAAAATATGTGGATCCGACTCGAATTGTGAGCTAATGTATGACAAACTATGGCACTACTACGCTAAGCGGTTTATGCTTGCTCGGATCGGCACGCTCAAAATCACGTTGTTGAAACAATCAGAGAAAGACAATTTTACTATCACTGCTATATATAATCAACATCAAAGCGAACACTGGACGCCATCTTTCTTCATGTATTTTGCGAAGAAATACAACCTACTGGACTGCCTTCGTGTTCGCAACGACTGATCCGAAAGAATCGGCGTTGTCGAGAGCCTAGACGTGGGCTACTGTGGTCAACTTAGATGGTAGGTTGCAGCAAAATTCGCAAAACGAAGTCGAGGTGCGAGATTGCAGCAAGTCTTCGTGACATGGCACTTTCAGAAGAGAAAAACGAAAGCTTTGAAGCGAAGAAAGGAGAGCCATTCAGTCATCTTCTCAGCAAATTCGGAATTCTTTAAGTGGCATCAGACTTGCTAATCGTTGCAGCTGACTACGGTATTATACTCAGATGGTTATGACGTGTGTTTGAGTGGATTTGGCCTGGACCTAGTACAGTCCACATCCTCGGAGATTATTCGCTATGATGGTGTCCGTAACTGCGTCAAAGACGAATTGAATGTTGGTGGTATCCGTGGCACAGGTCATATGGGCGTATATTTCTTTATTTGGACTCTTGTTCATTGTTTCGAATTTGCCTTGAATGTACTGCGCTGCTGGAAGAAATTCGTTAGGTCCTGCAAAACAAAGAAACATCCCAAAATTAAATGAAATTTTAACATTAGCTCTAAACTACATATTGAAACTTAATCCCCATAGGTACCTATTAATAGTAAATACAAGTTTCCAACTGGCAAAAAGAGGTGTTAGATGAAATGTTTAAGGTTGAGTACGGTAAGTATTAAGTATTTAACTTTTTTTGGAATTTAATAATACATAATCTTAAGGGAGTTCCTTTAAAACCCAGAAAAGGAGAAAGAGCATTCACTGGTTCAATAAGTTTTGGAACAAGAAATTTACAAGACTGGAAAAACGTGCATGGTGTTTAAAACACCAGAAACAATAGGAGAGATATCTCTAAAAAAAACCCAAAAAAACATGTTAATAGTTTTTGAAGTTTGATGCAAGTTGAAGGAGAGCCATTGAGATTAGACGCAAGACATAAGCTAGAAGAAGAAAAAGCAGCAGCATAAATTTATGCAATTACACTTGCATTTCAGCAAGGAAACTACAAGGACAGAAGGAATTGAACCGGGTACCAAAGGATCTCCACGGCCCAGCACACACACAGTGGCTACCACCAGTTTAGCCGACTGAGAAACGGAGAACATGCAAATACTTATACCATTATGTAGATAACCAACAGGAAAATTATTCATATGTATCGTGATTAAATTCATGAGGACATAAACCAGTTGTATGGTTGAACAATGAGTTGAGCAATGAATAGCATCGTCGCCACCTCTTCTGTTTCTACAAGATTTGGGCGCAAGGTTCAATATCATTGGAAGCTGTAAAAGATAACGGTGAATGCGAGAACAGCTGGATGAACACATCATAAGAAAGATATGGAAGTAATTTCATTTAAAGGGAGTGAAATAAATGAATAAAAGTAAATGCAGAAAAAGCTGCAGCTCTCTGCAGGTGGAAATGGAGCAGTTCTCTAAGATGACACCATTGTTACTGAGTACGGTATGGCATGATAATTAAGTAGGAGCGAGTGGCGCAGAGTCTTATACCCTATTCAGACTACACTCTCTTGCGATCGGTTGCGATGTAATCGGTGGTAATCCAAAACTGATTACTCCCGATCGCAATCAACGAACGCATTCAGACCAACATAAACAAACTTTACATTCTAGGGCCTAGGCCTCCGGTGTCTAGGCCTATGTTGCTTGACCTCAGCCAAACAGTAGTGGAATTCGCTGTGATTCGTTGCGATCAGATTCCGTGGTAATCGGGAGTAATAAAGATTGTAGCACCTAATCGCAACGGGTAACAATTGCGATATTACATATCGCCTACTATTGGTGAGCTTTCACACACGATTTTACTTTGCGATTGGGTGTCGCAACTGCTACAACCGATCGCAATGCGATTCTAGTCTGAATGGGGTATTAGTTGTTGGATTTCTGATCGTGAGATCGGGATTTCGAGACCGACGCTCGTCGCATTGCTTGTGTCCTTGAGCAAAGCACTTTAATTGCGATTGCCCCTCTCCACCCAGAGTTATAAATAGGCAGGGACGGATCCAGTAGGGGGATGTGCCCCCCCGTTTTGCCTCTAAATTTTAAAAATTTCAATGCAAATTATGTGCTACTCACTTATCTATTCTGAAACAATTGTGCCACATCCCCCCCCCCACGTTTGAAAAATTCTATATCCGCCCCTGTAAATGGGTACCTGTTAGGATGGTATGACATTCTGGTTGTGCAAGGACAGCTGCATGACTAGGGATACTCCCCAGGGAGCAGGGAAAGTTGCACAAAATATGCCGGTTTGCCAACTCAGAATTCAGTGACCAAGGAAATGATGCCAGCGCCTTGTATTTTCTTCAGATTGTGATAATGTTTGCATGCTTTTGTTTGTTTGTTGGACCTACCTGTATACTCTGGAAAACAGACTGTTAATGATGACCGTTCTATCTTTCCTTGAAACAAATCCTTCTTATTTAGGAACAAGATAATGGACGTTTCAGTAAACCATTTGTTGTTGCAAATTGAATCGAAAAGCTTCAAACTTTCGTGCAATCGATTCTGTAAAATAATCAGTAAAAAATTTAAAATCCGTCCCATAACGTAATCATTTTATTAAATCATCTTAACAGACTGCTCGCTATGGGTGTGTTTTACACCAATATCATAATGTCCTATATAATAAAGCTGACTTTCTTTATCTTACTATAATTGTCACCACTTGTGGGCTCGTTTATTCGGTCAAATTAAAGAGGACGAAGAAGAATTTAAAAATTGATGAAGGGGACGAAGTAACTAAGCAATTGTATGCCTAAGGAAAGGGGTATGGTGAGACCTAGTTTAATTTTAACGGATGAATTTTTAAGTTTAATTGATATGCAGCCACTAGTCTGTAGTTTACACTACTATAATCTATTGCAAGGCAAGTTAGCGCCGATTTCGTCTAAATTTCTAAAATGATCTAATGCGCGTATAATTTATAATATGATAGGTGATTTGGCTAAAACACAAACACACGGTGGTATGTCTAAAACCCTTTCCACAGTACTACATATTATTTGACAAAAAAAAAACACTGTTGTATGCCCAGTCATGATAGGCCTATATATGGTCATGATGTGATGTCATCATGACCATATTTAGGCATGTCACATGTTTTTGTCAAATAAAATTTGATAGTCTGGACAGGGCTACTGTATATTTGTGTGGGTATGAGTAATCTAAACTGCCTAAGAACTTGTATGTATTGAGTCTTCATGTCTAAACATAAATAATATGTGTTAAGGAACCGTATGTCTGGAACGCACGTGCGTTTGTCTACGTAACCGTTGGAATCTGAATTACTGATGTTAAATATCTGTGTATAATTCCATTTCATTAGTGTTGTCTACATTAACTTCGACACCATGTTCTATTGACCCGTCTCCAATCCATTATGCAAATTACCATCTGCACTCATCATTTTTTATAGTAATTAAAGCTATTATGCATTAATAATAATGTCACGTGACTTACTGTGACGTCATCCTCAAGCAGCCTTTGATCGTATCCACTGAGTGCTACACAAAATATAATCGCTGTTACATCCTCAAAACAATGGATCCATTTTTTTCGCTCTGACCTTTGGCCCCCTACATCAAATAACCTGCGATAAAAGATGAAATTAGTATAAAAGATTGCATCACGTGCCAAATCCACAACCACTAATTTGTAAAATCATGGTGATATTTAATTGACTTTAATCTATGTTATAATCCTAATTAGCCCGTATCCATATCTAGGCATATTCATAAGTCCATAAAGTGTGCTGCACTTTGAATGTGTGTAGAACTCTACATCGTTTGTAGCAGTGTCGTCTTAACTTGTAGGCAAACACATTGTTTAGAGCATATTGATCGACAACGCACTTTTATGCACTAGTTCTAGGCCCTAACACCCATATGTATTAAATAATCACATCTGCCGGCATAATCACACTAATCACTGATCTCACATACATTCGTTTCGAATAATTCTATTGCCTTGATTATCTATTTTACATTTGCCTTATCTATTTTACATTGGAGAAAAATATTCTGTTTCGTTGATATTATTATTATTATTATTATTATTATTATTATTATTATTATTATTATTATTATTATTATTATTTGATAAAATTATAAATAGAAAGAGTGAAACAATTTTTAAAATCATGATGACATTTAATTTACTATAGTCCATACTATGATCTTTAATTATCCCGACCTATCCAACCACAGCTAGTCGAAGTGTACTGTAGTTTAAAAAGCACGTTTTGGAACTATGGGTCCATCGCGCAATAGTTTTGCTTTTCTGGTTCTGATGGGTAAAACCGACCGCCTAGAGAATATAGGTATAGAAGGTTGAATAACAGAAAAGGCCAACCGTCGTAGAATAAGTCGTGCACGTTTGACGAATAAGTCAATTCTTAGCTTGAGCTGGTATGCCCGTACCAAGATCAATCGATAGTAGACATACACATAACATAGGTTTATGTCAACTGACCTTGGATACGGGCATATGTATAATGCATTACATAATATTTATAAATGTTTGTTGTGCCTGTATGATCCATGAGCACTAGGCTTTTAATTCCCTCATGATACTTTTATGCCGCCTTATATGTAAGCTATACACACTTTGGAAAAACGTCAGTAAATACAGACCCAGTAAATTGTGGCACGATAAATTATTAAGATTTAGGGCAAAGCCAGTGGTAGGTCTTTGGTTTAACCATGGTTTAACGGACATGGCCAGCACGGATATTTTTATGTATGCCCTATCTATCGAAAAAATTGGGTCAACAATAATATAGGCCCAGTAAAATTATTTGTTACACGATAAATAATTATTAGGTTTAAATCTATTTACAGCGTGGTAAGTCTTTGGTTTAACCACATACGTAGGCGTAAGTTTGTGTGTGTATTATGTTAACGGGTTCTGTATGCAAACGGTACCAAATCGCATGCCATGCTTAAAATTTTAAAACAAATTTAATTTTAGGATGACTATTTTAATATCGATAGTAATTGTTATTGTCGTGATGGAATAGACAAATAACTGGATTTGCGTCAGGAGAATCATGTATAGGTGTAATTTTGCCCTACCTGACGTGGAAATGTACTGAATACTCAGTACGTTTGAAAACAATTGCGAAAAAAAAATCGAAATTTGTTCTCAGTTGGGACTTGAACCGACGACCTCCAGATCACCTGGCATCATACCTCTAGACCTCCGAGCACCACCCGAGAACAACTTGCGATTTATTCGCAATTGTTTTCAAACGTACTGATTATTCAGTACATTTCCACGTCAGGTAGGGCAAAATTACACCTGTATATTTTAATATTGTTTTACAACAATAATATAGCTGTTAAAAAGTCCAAATATTGTTTTACAACATTTATTTAGCCGTTAAAAAGTCCAAATATTGTTTTACGACACTAATATAGCTCTTTAAAGTCCAAAGTATGTTTATCAGAAGAAATCAGCAACACGGAAGTTAAATTATTATTTAAAAAAAAATCAAAATAAAAATGGTTTGATATTCACCAAACTTGTGTATACATATCCTGAATTATGCAACATTTGAAGGTTTTAGGGCATACAGTGTGGTAGGTCTTTGGTTTAACGGACATGGTATCCGCACGGATACTTTCTATGTATGGCCTATTTATAAGCTATGTACTAATATAGCTGTTAAAAAGTCCAAATATTGTTTTACAACACTAATATAGGTGTTAAAAAATCAAATTAAAAATGGTTCGATATTCACGAAACTGTGTATACATATCCTGAATTATGCAACATAGGTGTTGTATATGAATTGTATTCTTTAGAATATTTCCTAGCGTGGGCGAGGGCTGAGAGCTAGTGTGTCATGTGGCCTAGAGGGAAGGAAATTATCATCGAGAGATACTGCTATACACTCGACTATGTGTATATCAATTCCGACAAGTAGTAGATTAACACTGGTCTTCATGTCGTTGTAATTAAGCCTTTGCCGAATCGTTTCATTGTTTTCTTTGTTAATCGTCATCCAATTCGAATGATAACGTGACTACATGATTTTGCAATATAATATGCGAACAATAAGGTACGATAAAACGTTTCAGGGTACCTTTGTCGCTCACATTGTCATTTGCCTTAATCACGTTCTTGAGGTGCTGCGAATAGAAACATTGCTCCTAATATACTTCTGCTAGCCTATTATGATTATGATTATTTTAAGAATTGGGAATAATATTAATAATAATAATAATAATTAAAAAAAATTATTATTATTAGGCCTATTATTATTATCATTATCATCATATCCGTCATGGTCATGATGGTCAGCGTTATCATCATCACCCTCATCCTAGATCTTCCACATTCTCCCCTCCCTCATCACCATCTCCTCCTCTACATCCACATCTATATCAACATCAACATCATCATCAACATCAACATCATCACTAGTATAATCACCATCATCATCATCATCATCATCATCATCATCATCATCATCATCATCACCATCATCATAACTGAATGAGATGAAGGCAAGAACTGAAAGGATGAATGAATGAACGAACTATAGATGAATGATTAAATAAATGAATGATGAATGACAGATTTACGAATGGATGGATAGATAAATGAATGGATGAAAGAATGGATAAGCAGATCATTAAATTTGTTTTCTAACTGTATTGAAAAGAGAATGCATCTTGCCTATGCCATTGCATAAGAAACATAATGCACGGTTTAAATGGGTCCAAATTTTGCTGGCTTTGACTGGAGATACATACCTAAAATGCAAATTTTTAAAGTTGAAATGTGTTTCAACAATGCCAGTAGTCTTAACTCTTGTTCGTAAAATATCCTGCTCATTAGGTGTGTAGTTACTTTCTGCTAGACGATCAAGACTTTCTAGAAAACTAAAAGATAAAAAGCAATGACAAAAATGATAATTATACTTTGTTCATAATGTACATTACGATTTTACAAACGTTTCATTGTTTGGTCAGTGGAAATAACCGTACCGATTAGTCAATAGCCACTAATTCACACTTCGGGAATTACAGTTTTTTCAATGGTTTATTTTCATTCGACTTGTTCGTAAAATAGACTTCATTGGCAACGAAAATTAACGTAAACCAGAGTGCGTTAATCAGCGTTAAGTTATTCACGTGACCAAAACAAACATGGCCGATTGGTGAGTTTAGAAACAACATTTGCGTTAATATTATTTAGATTAAATTTCAGAAAATAAATATTATAATATTTACCCACATGAAGTTAAAAAATAATTGTAGGCCAACAGAATTCAAAAACTGGATGAAAACATTTTTTACGAAAAACCCATACTGCCACAAGCCGAAGCAATCTTGATTACACAGCGTGTATCGCGGTAACTATGCAGCCATTTTGTTTTGTCGAGTACAGTATTTACAAGTTTCCTATTCGACCGGTCGTCTTCCTTAAGTAGGATTTTACCACTGGCAGGTGGGGTGGTTTAACGAAGAACGACCACTCGAATACGGCCAATGTATACGTGAAAGAAATCACAACGTAGACGGTAAACGTCACAATAGGCCTTTCCTGATTGTCAGTAAAACTTTACAACTGACCTGGCCCGGGATTTATCAATCTCAGCTTAGCAAATGTCTTAAGTCAAAAAAGTTAAAATGTCCCTAATAAATATCCTAAGCTGATTTATTAAACAATCTTAGCAAAATCTTGGCTTAAAAATCGTCTTAGATGGCGCCAACGTACAATCGACTTTCTAATTTTAAGCAATTTTTAAGCTAAGAAATATTGATAAATTTGACTTAAGCAAAAAAATAGACTTAAGGCGAATTTTATATTTCTAGTTTGATAAATCTGGCCCCAGGGCCAGAGGAGTACGCGCTCGTCTCACAATTACGTTGTCCAACAAACGTACGTTTACACTGTCGTTTTGCGGGACCTTAACAACAACATCCAAAGGGGCGGGGCTTAGCGCGTTCAGGACATTGAATTGTCCGATGTTGAATGACATTGTAAACGTAGGAAGTTAGCTAATTTACATAATTATGGTATTTTACGTCAAAGGTTTCCATTTCGAAAAAAGAAACCTTCCAAATGATCTAACATTTGATGAGGAAAGAATACAAAACCAAGGATAAAAATAATCATAATCTAAGACATTACAATTGAAAACAACTCACAAAGAAACAAAGCATGCGATAATGTTTCAGTAACTCATAAGTCTATTTATAATAGGGAGCTACCAATTTGTTCGACGACACGACGCCAGGACGGAATCACTCATGCGTGACCGTCCTAAAGGGGCGTCCTACGTTCTCTGGCATACGTAAATTTGGCCATATTGCGTCCTACAGATCCAAACGACCCCCACCCCTCGCCAAATTACAGACGCATAACATTTAGGCCTACACTCTATACACTAGATACTTCGTAAGTATAAAGTCTAACAAATCTAAATATAAGTGAAAACTAAATAGGTTTGATCTTGAAGTTGATAATTTATTAGCTTTTTTTAATGAGTAAATCAATGTTTGACTTTTTTTAGGGCTTTCAAAATGTCACAGAACAGTAAATACAATGATTTCAATTATGCAGTATCGCTACCGGTATCCAACTCAAAACCGGTTACCAGATGTGGAAATATCAAGGAGGATTTAAATGTTGTAGCCGTGCCCCACCCTCCACGATCTTGCCACCAGACCAAGTGTATTTTTCCAAACAATTTCCTTAATGAAAGACAATGAGAAATTGTGTCGTAATTTGCCTTTTAATGGTCGACTGGCCTTGATGTTTACTCTGTGTCCGGTGTAGGCGTTATTATTGATGCAATTTGATGACTTCATACGGGTAGTATCTAGTTCTGGTTAAAGAGAGACCATTGTAGGTATGGTAGACTTAGTAACGCCAATGATATAAGCCTATACTGTAAATAGCAGCATGGTGGTACAATACTGTACGCTCCATGGAGATCTGTGTGCCTATGTTTTACCACATTCAAGATGTTCTTCCCCATGTAAAAAAAGATTGTAGCACACTTGCTTTCGGATGGGGCGCTATGGCCATTGATCCCCGTGCACAAACACTAAAAAAAGAAGATCAGGAGATTGTCTCTCGGTGTACTCTGCAATTGAACGTTCAACTAAGCCCCGCCTCTTGAATATTGTTGCTAAGTTGCGTTTCTGGGACATGCGCGTTATCCTGGCTCTGTTTCGTCAATTGTTAAGTTTGATTGACACTACAGAAAAGTCCACCCAAAGGACCAGAGCAACAAGGAGCTGAGCCCAAATGTATTAGTAAGGCTCAGCTAGGACCAAACATTACGGTACAGTTTGTTCATTCTCTAGAATTACCATTACCAACCAGAACGTTCTTCCACTTACCTGACATTTACACAAGTGTTGTACAGAGAAGATCATTTTAAAAGTAGGCCTATACAAAATTAATTATGAGACTTACTACTGTGCCGAATCGTTTAGTTGGTATTCGCTGGATCTACTAAATATTTCTTGAATCCCTGAGTCAGCCCAAAGCCGTTTCATTCCCTGATGGACTTCGGGGGTGAATGGTTCCGAATCTAGCATCTTACTAACCAAGTCGTGGACCATAGCTTTATCACTCTGTAAAATGTAAATTGGTTCATTCAATGAATTATAAAAAGAGTATAATTTGGAAAGAGTTTGCCTCACTCTTTGTTCTAAAAACAGTGTTATCCTAATATCAAAGGGACACTCTTTCGGCTGCAAAACGAGAGAAAGTTTATCTTTTAACACTACGGCCAACCCGTATTTAGGGGGATATTTTGTTTTCGAAGGTGTCCCCTTTAATAGGTGTTCTCTGTACAATAATTTAACATTACACGGATAAAATTACGGCACGCAGTTTAGTAAAATTTGCGACTAAATAGACATTCTTCATTGAATTCTAGATACCGTACCAACTATCATTAACCACAGATAATAATAAACGAAAAATATTTTATCCTAAATTGTAAAAAAATAGTATATCAAACAATCTTCTGAATGCTGTGGAAGCATTCCCCTACCTTCTATTCGGTCGTTTAACGAAAACATACCGTATCGTAAAATGGACACAGAATGTCGTTGATATATAGACCCATCCTGCTATTTTAATTTTTGATCATTAACTACAGGCAGGCCTATCCAGCATTTGCTATTATACTTTGACCATAGGAAAAAAAAACGCTTTCAAAAGCGTGGCGTTCGACATCAGCTCTAATAATTGTTTTAGTCCGCGATATCATATCGGATTATCATATTTAATATGATGTTGTTTACTGGTAGCGGCAGGATGAAATTAACCTGACGTCTCCTCGTCTCATGCTTTCTTAGTCATCACATCGGTAGATTCTATATAACGACATCGTATCATGTTGTATGGGCTTAGGTCTACATGTTCATTGTAGTGTTAATATTTTTGCTCGTGCGTCTGCTTATTCTTACTATTTTTTTTTGTTTTAAGAGCTGAGGTTCCCTGCTGTTCTACCTCAGACCATGAATGAGACGATATTGTACTTTGTGCAGCAGCTAAAATTAGACCATTGAGAAGAATAGGAATAGGCCTATATGAGTTCGTTGTCCGAATGCTTCGTAATTGCACAGAAAGTCGGCCTAATAATACTACTACATTTCTATGATATTATTATTATTAGACTGTATATCACCTGCCCTTGGCATCAGATTTAACTTAATTAAATATTCTACACGAAAATAAATAATTTAAAATAATAATCATAATAGATATTTCCGACGATACAATCTAGGGTAGTAGAAATCCAGACTAATTCTTATTAGAAAAACGAATGAATCGAAAATATCTGGCTGCCAGTTTTCTTAGAACATTGATGATCTAATTATCATTAGTCGTTTCCTGCTAAAAATACAATCCGCTGTATTGTATCAATCATAATTAATAATCACCTTTGGACTAATGAACTCGGATACAAATGACCTGGTCTTGAAGGTGACCGGATGAGCGAGCCAGGAAACGTCATATTATAGGGACGCTTTTTTCCCAGATAGTATTCATCCGAAAATCCCAGCTAGGCTTTGATCTGAACAATACTGTTCATTATCGTTGAGAGCAGGGCCTCGAGGACGGACGCCATGGAGATATATACAGTCTGCTGCAACGATGCTAAAACTAATAACATGCAACCGCCCACGCAAAATCCAGGGTAGTCGATACGTTGCGGATGCTAACGTTTAATCAGGGGGGCTTGGCTTGCTAAGGTAGTCTTTAGCCTAGACTGCATTCGATACTGCCTGACACAACACTTCGTTATCAAGGTAGAAAGTGGATTAATATTACTGTACTAGGAATGATTTAACAAAACGTTCTCTTGTCGAAGTCATTAATATTTTCATAGATTCTACATAGTATCTTCACAATAATATCACATCACTAATTAAGTATTCAACGTCTGATTCTAAATATATATTCTACGTTCAGAATAGAGAAAATACGGATTCAGGAAAATTAATATTCAGCGGAGGCGCTGCGGCAACTGTGCTACAAAATAGTCATATGTGTATTCAAAGATGCTTGGCTTGGGTAGTCTGTTGGAAAAATCCTTATGATTTCGTTATTATAAAAATATATTGTCATGAATTTACAATAGAGGTAAAAGATAATACCGACTCCATCCTTGAGGATACAATAACCACGTAGGCATATCTAATCTCGTAAATTATTTTACCTTTACTGCATCTTTACTATGAAACGAGGTCTACATATTACGGTATGGTATCTGTAGCATGTTAGAATTACACCTATTAGGCCTATAATGATTATGATTATTATCATCATTATTATTAATATTATTATCGTGTTTTATTGTGGTTTACTGTTATAAAAATACACTTAAATACCACGTATATTGTTTACTGATTTCTTAAGTTTGGTATAATTAGACTGTTGTTAATTTTGTGTAGGCCTATTTATCATATTTAATGTGTTTATAGAAGGATGAGTAAAATCAAAAGCTTTCTGAGTAAATAGGTTAGAAGCCCACGTTTAGAAAATACCCGGATGTGATGATTTAATGCATTCATTCATACCGACTCTACCTATGATTAGTATAATTCGTTTTGTGAGACACTATTACTGACATGTTTATAAAATCCATCCGTTATGTGGTATTGTTTCAACCGACGCTGTAGCGCGTGCAATTTGTACTCGCTGGATTAAAGACTACCGCTACAAGTGGGCGTTGCCGTAAATGGATGATAGATATGAAGAGGAAGTTGTAGCTCGTTCAAAAGTGCATTTAGCTAACCGGTGTAGAAAAGGGTGTTTTTAAGGAAAAAAGCGATATTTTGACTGTGAAGGCGGGTGGGGTATACACTACTTAGGGAGCGAAACTCTAGCAACGAGCTTGCCCATGAAAAACAAAGTAAAGTTCTAGGGTTAGATTGGCATCGTTCGTATACGTGTGGGTTCATAATTAAACATAATTTCAATAGGCCTTATCCAGACTTGATAATGATAAAACTAATAAGATTAATATATTCTAATAATTATAATAATAATAATACTGTAATAATAATAATAATAATGATAACTATAATAATCAAATACAGGTCTCCCTCTAATTAAAGACCCCTCCAATTAAAGACCACTTTTTTGTGGTCATATTATTAACAAATGTTTTTTTTACCAAACCAAAGCTGCTAAGGACCATAAAAACACCTGTCCCAAAAGTAGTCTTTAATTATAGGGAGACCTGTATTATTTATAATGTGGAAATTCCATAAAAATACCAAAGGCGTAGTCAATCCTCAAAGTTTCAAATTAACTTTAAAACATTGTAGGTGAATTTATAATAGTTCATTCCAAAACAAAGAGAGGAGGCAGAAAATCAAAACTCGAATATAGGTCTAGCCCTATTAAAGTTAATTTGGCCTGATACATGTATGAGTGAAATACAGTAGAACCTCTATTTAGGGGACATCTGGCCCAACAAATGTGTCTCCTTGGGGTGTACCCGAAATGGGGGTTAGCCGTAGTGTTGAAAGATATACTTTCCTTCATTTCGTGGCCGAAAAAGCGTCCGCTTAATTTAATAGGGGTGACCCCCCCCTTTAATAGGGGTGTCCTAAAGGAATTTATATGAATACAATATGCATGGTCTGTACCATAATTGTATTAATTTATGCCAGCGGGTAACTATATTATTCCTGTCTCTTATACACATCTAGATGTGTATAAGAGAGGTGGGAAGGGCAAATAGTCATACCAGTAAAGGTTCAAGTATAGAATCTTCAGTATTTTAACTTAGCTACCTACTGATATGCTCATAATTAATTTTATTAGTTGAAAGGACGAATACTATTTGTTGTTGTTATTTAAGTTATCTATTCCTTTGTATAAGCAGAGTTTAAATTTCGATACCGGTACTTGTTTGTCGTACCAAGTAAAACCAAAATAGTTGTTGGTATCGCGTGACAAGTTAGTACGAGGTATCCTCGCATACGTTTCCGTTTGTACGTCACATACGTGAAAATGATGCAACTTTCTATCAACAAGTAGGCCTAGTAATGTACAGAGGACGACAAAAACCATCTGTTATTAAAAAATAGGTAAATTCAAATCGATAGCTTATAAACAGTCTTAATTTTTGTAAATTCATTAACCTTTTAATTTATTTTACTTTATTGGGTTTTTTCACTTTTGTTTTTAACTTTTGTGTTTTTTAGTTCAACGCGTTTTACACTAAACACACCACATTAGGACTATATTACTAAACAATCCCTTGAATAACGTATCAAAATATCAAATGAAATGACACAATACGTGATGACTTCTATTACTATTTAGTATTACGCCTACATTAACAATAGACCTAATGCATTGCATTGTTGTTGGAACTGTCTACATTTCACATAGGCTTCACCCAATGTCCCGCGTCTGAAAAAAAAGTCCTTATCGGGTCACTAGGCATGAGCACATCGTTTTTACACATGCATTAACGAGGTTGCTTCCTAACGGCTGTTTATTATTTAAGCTACTAGCCAGGATTGCGGGTATGAAGAAGTGGATGAAAAACGTTATTGAATTCAACTGTGTTTAGGTTAAAGATTTTGTAAACTTGGGGAGTTTCTCGCTGCTCTGCCAGCCCAATTTTGTACATGACATTGTATGATTTAGAAGAGAAACGAGGGCCACCCCCCCCCCACCTCCCAAAAAAAAAAAGATAGAGAAGAAAAGATAGAGGGGAGCACTTTACTCCAAAACAAGCCAAATACTTTCGACGATTTAAATTACATGTTCCAGTCTTTGTGGTCAAGCATTTAATTTCTAAACAAAAATCTCAAACGCCACCCACTTCCTCCGCTCGGTGCATTGTAGGTCCCATGGCCCCTACACTGGTACCAATCAATGTTTATACTCGTCCAGATATTGTTATTATTTAATAATTTCTGATAAAAATCTAAAAAAGGTGAAATCAATCAATCCATTTATATTTCTGTACTGACATTACCCTTTTCAGGGTGTCCGCAATATTATTTTATAATGTTCATGGTCCGAGAATCGAATGGTTCAATATTTAGCCATTGAAGAAACTCTGGCATACAACAGGTCTATTGGCTTTACCTGATAAAACCGATACATCTTAAATACGATATATTTGTATAGAGGACCCTCGAATTTTTTTTTAATCGGAATTTATATAGCGCCTTTCACAATCGGCAGATTTTACAAGCGATTATACAAGGCGCTGACACCATTATTTCCCTGGTCACTGGATACTGAATTGGCTGATCCGCACAATATGCGACTTTCTCTGATCCTTGGGATATATCCCTGGTCATTGCTACTTGAACGCGCACGACCCATACATTCAATGCCAAACCATCCTACCAGGTACCCATTTATACCCCTGGGTGGAGAGAGGCAAACGTAAGTAAAATGCTTTGCCCAAGGACACAAGAAATGCGTTGCCTTCCTTCCCTTCACATCTAACCGCATTCTTTCTTACCATCTACAAAATAATCTCGGTTCATCTAACTTCTTGTCATCACCTATTATCTCATCTCATCTTATCTCACTTCTTAACATCATTTCACCACTTCCATTCCTCTAATATCATAATATCCTCACCTCATCCAACTTTTCCCCCACTTTCTTCTCAATGAAATACACTTCATGTCATCTCTGTTCATCTCAACTCATTCTTTCAAAATGCATCTACTCTCATACCATTTCACTTCTTGATATCTCCAATTTTCTCATCTCACCTCACATCACCTTATCCCTTCAAATCTCATACCATTTATTCTCACCTCATCACACTTGTCATACCCTTTCATCTCACCACAATATGCTTAAACTACTTTACATCTTACTTTATCTCAGTTCATCCTTTCAAAATACATCTACTCTCACATTATTCCACATCTTGACATCTCTAATTGTCTCATCTGACCTCACATCCACCTCATCCCTTCTAATCTCATACCATTTATTCTCACCTCATTACACTTGACATACCCTTTCATCTCACCTCGATAGGTCTACTTTAAAGTACTTACCATCTTTTTTTTTTTTTATCTCAACTCATCCTTTCAAAATGCATCTACTCTCACATCATTCATTTCTTGACATCCCCAATTGTCTCATCTCACATCACATCATCCATTCAAATCTCACACCATTTATTCTCACCACATTACACCCCAAATAGGCCTAAGCTACTTGCATCCCTTTTTATCTCAGCTCATTCTTTCAAAATGCATAATTATACTTTCACATCATTCCACTACTGTATTTGACAATTCCAACCGTCTCATCCCACCTCACCTCATCCCTTCTAATCTCATCACTTATTCTCACCTCATTGCACTTGCCATGCCCTTTCATCTCACCCCGATAGGCGTGACTTGCCTTCTCTTTTTATCTCAGATCATCCTTTGTCATCTCATCTTTTACCAATTCTTGTCTTCTCATCTTACGATCTCATCTCACCTCACTTCACCCCTTATATCAAATCAGCTATTCTCACCTCATCCTACTTACAGTGGCGTAACAAAGATCATTGAGGCCCCTGGCTAAGGCTTCTTCGGGCCCTACTACCCCGGAGGCTGGGTCTCGGTAAAGCCTAGTGGGGTACAGTGAAAAGCCCGCGGGCTTCGGCGTTTTAGATTTTGATAGACTTTAACATTGTGCTTCATAAAAGGCCCTAAGATCTAGAGCCCCTAACTTTAGCAAATGAGATCTCATAGCTGTTACGCCATGTGCCTACTAGTCTCATCTTATAGTACTGTACCTTCACTCACCTTATCCTAATCCCATCTAAATCTAATCTCACCTAGCCTCATCCTGTTAATCTTATACCATCTAATGTAACCATATTTCACTTGTCATCCCCTTTGACCCTACTTTAATCTTCTTCTTGCCATATGTTTTTAACTCACTTCATCCTGTCTCATCTCATACTATCAACTCTCGCCTCATCCCATTTCTTCTCATCTCTTTCTGGCTTATCTCAACTCAACCCTTATAATCTCATATCTAACCTAACCTCCTTCCACTTCTTATCCCTTTTATCGCGCCTCAATTAACTACGTGCCACCTCTTTATTTCAAGTCATTCTTCCTCATTTTATATCATATTATCTAATTTGACATCATCCTTTTCTTGCCATTCCCTCTCATCTGACCCTTTCTCATTCATCCCTGATCTCACCATTTTATCTTACCATCGTCCGCTTTCATCTCATATTTCATAAAATCTCTCGTCACATTCTATTACTTCACCTCATCCTTTTCGGTTCATTTAATCTTACCTCATTTACTTATTGCCAATCCTTCTCATCTCATACCACCTTACGTTACTTCATCTTATCTTATCACTTCTTTATCATACTGTCTCATCTCACCTCACATCTTGCAATCTCTTTTCATTTCACCTTGCTCTCATTATCTCACAGCGTCATTTTATCTCCCATCATCCTACTTCTGTCAACCCTTCTCATGCACACCTCGTCTCTTATCATCTCATACCATCTAATCTCACCAAATATCTCTCATCTCACCTCATCAAACATATAAACTGACAAATCAGAACAGTACCAATAATACGCGTTTGTCCAACAAACACTCGTGTTGTCCCACAAATGCACATGTTTACGTACAATTTACGCTACCGTATTGTTTTGTGGGACCTCATCAACAAAATCCAAGTGACGGGGCTTTCCCCACATATTCTTTTATCTTACCTCTCGTTCATTGTCTTCGAACTGTACACCTAACGCTTCCATTGCACGTATCATTGACAACATAGATTGTATAGTATTGCTGTAAACCACTGGTCTATAGATCTCAGCATCTTCACTAGTAAAACCATCTTTATGGATAATTCTGTGAATGCAACGAAGAGAGTGAGAAACATCCTGGAAAAAACAAAACAACCTACCCCTGTACACATTATATTACGATTATTATGTATTTAAGCACAAGGGCCAAAGAATATATCACCGTCCTGATCTTAGGTTTTAATCCCTTTCATAGAACTAACTTATACATAAGATGCTTTACAAACACTAACTCTCAATAATATATGTTTTTGTTCCTCCAGACACACTCAATCTCTTCAGTAAACCTTTTTCCTCCAAATCCCGACATTTTATGCATGTATATACTATTATCATATACACACATAAGCCTGTTACTATATATATATATATATATATGCCTAATATACATATATATATAAATAACATACATACTAATAAACGACATGTTAGTATTTAATTCATTTAATTAGGTGCATACATACATATATATCTTTTCATATATTTATTATATACACACTTTATATATAGACCTATATATATTTATAGGCCTATATGTATATGTAACACACATAATATGAGTGTATGTGTGTCTAGTATATTTAAATATTATACATAACAAATATATAGGCCGATATATAATCACAATGATACATTCCGTTCTAATTATAATTTCATGACGTTCTTACCGACTTTCTAATATAGATACTGAATGTGAATATATTTTATGTAAGTTAACGCGTGTGCAGACATTTAGGTTGAAGCTAAACACCTCTAAAATCTTAAGATACTGCGGATCGGCACGATTCACGCTTCTGCGAAGACACAGCATTCATCTGTATCAAGGCATAATTTCCGTGTTATTTCACCTGGAAAATCTTAGTGGCATTTAAAAAACAGACTTTGTCATGATTCTAAATTCAGTTGGCATTTTCTACGAGCTCTATGCTAAACAGGAGCAATGGAGGTTTCCACTGTCTACCACCAAAGACGTATGAAGTTGACACACAGAAAATATAACGTGATATGACATTGCGAATTATTGATCGAGCAGAGGTTCGCGTGGGCGGGAAATTCATCCATATTTTTTTGACGAGAGCGATTTATTATTCATTGCTGGACCATCACTGTCGGTGAGAGGCAGTGAAATGGCAGCGTCGACTAAGGCTGGCAACTTGGTAACATTAATAACAGCTTATGTAGAAATCATGTATGAATGATAAGGCTCATCATAAGTAGAATGATAACAATCGTATATTCATATGCTAAGGCCCGTGTTTTAATTCATATATAAGGTAAAACATGGTGATAGCGGATTTTCAGGATAAACCAATTGAGGCCTTGTTAACATGGCAAGACATATCTACATCATTAAAAAGAAAATATACTCAAAATAATAAATACAAATAATAACAAAGATGGATAAGACTAGATCTAAATTTGAATTAAATCTTTTTAGATACCTTAAACGTGGAGATGATGATCGTTTTGATGGTTATGATAATGATGATAATAATAATAATAATAACAGCTGTAATAATTCATGATTATGATCATATTGATATTTATAAAGATGAAGGTAGTAATGCTTATGACGACAATGACAATAGCAATAGTGATGACTATTACGTCAAAGATGTTGATGTACGGTACATAACCATGACAATCACGAAAAAGATGACTATGAAAAGAAAATAATATGATAATGCTGACAATGACGATGATGAAAATAATGAAATAATAAAGATGAATATGATAATAAAGGGAAAGAAGACAAATAGTGAAGATGGTAATGATGATGGTGGTGAGAATGATGATCACAACGACAATGAAGACATTTATGACGATGACCAAGAACAGGATGATGTAATGGTAAGTAAAAATGACTATGAAGATGAATATGAAGATAAATATGATGATGATGAGAAAGAAGACAGAAAGAAGATGATGATAATATAAATGATCATAAATGAGGAGGAGGAAGGGAGAAATTGAAAAATAATACAAATATGAGGATGTTGACAGTGACTGCGACAATAATGGCGAATGATGACGAGCATCATCATCATCATCATCATGATAATGATAATGACGATGACAATAATGAAGTTGGTGGTAAAATGTGATATTGGGAATGGACACCAAAGTATTTGCTTTGTTGGACATGATTGCACATAGGGTAGCAATGGTGGAGACGGATCCTGGAATCCGAAATAGAGGGAGCGCAGAAAGTCAATTTTAAATATCGAGGGGCCAGACAACCTTAATAGCCCCACCATGGTTGGAAATGAGGCACGAAATGTTATGTCTAAAGGCCAACTCAGACAGCGTCGGCCGACGCAGCCCGACCCGATTTATCGTCGGGGACAGTCTTAAGCCGTCGTGAGAAATATTAAACACGTTTAATATTCTACTA